CAACAAAAAACTTCTTGAATTTAATAGGGGAGGAAAAGTCGGGAAGGAGGCAGGAGGAGAAGGGCTGGTATATGTCCTGGGTCCTCTCTGGTGTTGCAGATGTATGATCGGGCAATCAGTGCCCCTACCAGCCCTACCCGCCTGAGCCATTCAGGAAAGAGGAGCTGGGAAGAGCCAAACTGGATGGGCTCCCCTCGACTGTTGAACAAGGACATGAAGACAGGCCTGAGCCGGTCTCTGCAGACTCTTCCCACAGACTCTTCTGCCTTTGACACAGGTAAGAAACTCCTTAAACTTTCTGGGACTGCTTCTGGACTTAGAGCTGCTGTGGTGGAGAGACATTTCTCAGCATGGAATGTCAGGCAACTTGCCCTTTGTGCCAAGTCCTTTTCCTTCCTGGGACTAGGACTTCTGTGGACTGAGCAAGCTTGGGCAGAGCTCACATGCCTCTCTCTCTTGCCTTGGCAGATACATTCTGCCCACCCCGGCCCAAACCATTCCCCAGGAGGGGCCAGGTAGACTTGAAGAAGTCACGACTCCGCATGTCCCTGCAGGAGAAACTTCTTTCTTACTACCGGAACCGGGCAGCCATCCCTGCTGGAGAGCAGGCTCGGGCCAAGCAAGCTGCGGTGGACATATGTGCTGAGCTCCGGAGCTTCCTGCGGGCCAAGCTGCCTGATATGCCACTTCGGGACATGTACTTAAGTGGCAGTCTCTATGATGATCTGCAGGTAACATAGTTCTTATGAAGGGTGGGGCTGGGCATAGACAGATACTTCTCAGTATTGTGGTTGCTCAAGAAAGTCATTGTGACTTGCTTGTAAATCCTTGTAAATCCGTCCCACAGCAGTATTTATTCCTTTGCTCTGTTCTTTCTCACTTTTTTAGTCATACTTAGACTTTTTTTAAAAATTTTTAAGATTTATTTATTTATTATGTATCCAACATTCTGCCTCCATGTATGCCCGCACACCAGAAGAGGGCGCCAGATATCATTACAGATGGTTGTGAGCCACCATGTGGTGGCTGGGTATTGAACTCAGGACCTCTGGAAGAGCAGCCAGCACTCTTAATCACTGAGCCATCTCTCCAGCCCTTGATACTAAGACTTGTAAAGAAGCTATAGGGGTTGAGGATATGGCTCAGTTGATATAAACTAGTTGTATTAGGCCCTGGGTTCAATCCCCAGCATTTCATAAAATAGGCATGGTGACACAGGTCTGTCATCACAACACTCAGGAGGCAAAAGGATCAGAAGATTAGGGTCAGCCTCAGCTGTGTAGTTTGAGGCCAGCCTGGGTTATGTTATATCCTACCTCAAAAAAACAAACAAACAAACAAAAAAAAAAAACAAAAACCCTAAAACCCTGAACCAGGGCAGTGGTAAAACACCTCCTTTGTTGTATTCTTGTCTTGTTTGCTGTGTGCTGATTGAATCATTGGTTTGCATTATTGTTGGCAAGTGCAAGATGTTAGATATGTGTTGTAGGCAGCTTATATCTTATGACTAGTAAAGCCCTCCAAAACCTTTTAAATTCTGGGGCCAATGAGATTACTCAGCAGGTAAAGGTGCTTGCCACCAAATCTGAAGACCTAAGTTTAGTCTCTGAGTTGTACATGGTGAAAGGAGAGAACTGACTTCTGTAAGTTACCGCTGACCTCCACATGCATTACATGTGTTTTATTATACTAAGTATAATAAAACATTAAAAACATAACCAACACTTTTTAATTCTTTTCTGGCAGGTGGTGACAGCTGACCACATTCAACTCATTGTCCCTCTTGTGCTGGAGCAGAACCTGTGGTCATGTATACCTGGTGAGGACACCATCATGAATGTTCCTGGATTCTTCCTGGTCCGTCGTGAGAACCCAGAGTACTTTCCTCGTGGTAGCAGTTATTGGGACCGCTGTGTTGTAGGTGGCTACCTCTCCCCAAAGACAGTGGCAGACACATTTGAGAAGGTAGTGGCAGGCTCTATCAACTGGCCAGCCATAGGGTCCCTCTTGGACTATGTGATCCGACCAGCACCACCCCCAGAGGCCCTGACACTAGAAGTGCAGTATGAGAGGGACAAACATCTTGTCATTGACTTTCTGCCATCAGTGACCCTTGGTGACACTGTCTTGGTGGCCAGACCACACCGCTTAGCTCAGTATGACAACCTCTGGCGGCTGAGCTTGCGTCCTGCTGAGACGGCACGCTTACGGGCTTTGGACCAGGCTGACTCAGGCTGCCGATCTCTGTGCCTCAAGATACTCAAGGCTATATGCAAGTCCACTCCAGCTCTGGGCCACCTTACTGCCAGCCAACTAACCAATGTCATCCTCCACTTGGCCCAGGAGGAGGCTGACTGGTCTTCAGAGATGCTGGCCGACCGCTTTCTGCAGGCCCTGAGGGGACTCATCAGCTACTTGGAGGCTGGAGTCTTGCCCAGTGCTCTGAACCCCAAGGTGAACCTGTTTGCAGAGCTCACCCCTCAAGAAATAGACGAATTGGGATATACTCTCTACTGCTCGTTGTCTGAGCCAGAGGTGCTGCTGCAGACGTAGGGCAGGTGAAGGCTGGAGTGGGCGTCGGGTGATCAGACCCAGAGTCTCCGTTAGAAACACTTGGCTACATGGTTGGTGCCTCACAGGGTCCCTAGGTGCCTCCTGTTTTGCTGGTCATTGTCTTGGTCAATTCATGCTGATTAGAATGACATCCCTTTGGTTTTCCCACCCATCCCTATTTTTGTTACCAAACACTGTGCTCCCTACTGCCACCTTGCTCTAGGCTGATTTTTCTGGAACGAACAGAGAAGGTAGAATGCTGGCCTCAGCTCTTGGGTGTTTTGTTTTTTTGCCCAAAACTTCTTGCTTTTCTGTCTGCTCTGCACTGTTCTGCCCTTTGGCCTCTTATTTACTGTCTTCTCTGTCTTTTCTTGGTCACACCTGTTTGCTCTTGCCCCTGGAGCACATCTGCCTATTGAAGATGTCACCTGTGGTCTGTCACAGAAGAGCTGATTGCATGTTTCCAAGTTGAGCTCTGCAGAGTAATGAGACAGTACAGTATTTAGATTTCCGGGGAGGCAGGCGGAGTCTCTGCCCTGGCAAATCAGCCTTTGATTCTGCTTCCTGGAAAGCAAGCTCCTCTCCCCTCCCCCAAGCAGCTCCTGTTTATCTGTGCTAAGAATTTTTCCCCTGGGAATGGTGCATATAGGAAGAGCCAGATGCAGTTATTTTATTGGAGATTGTGCTTTTTTTTATGGCTATCTGTGGGAGCACAGGGGGAAGGGCTCTGTTCCTACTGTCTATTTCTGTCTGTGGTCACAAAAATCACAGTGGTAGGGGGGAAGCTTGGGGGCTTCACTGACAGCACCTCCAAGGGTGCTGGGGTTTTTTATTGCCAACAGTAGAGGCCAAGGGAAGGCAATAGGAGGCTGAGTGTCAGCTGAAACCCAGTTACCGGATTTTCTTCTCGACAGGCTCTACCTTAAATGTTGCCTTAGAGCAAGAACACACCCAGGGCCAACACCCCCCCCCCCCCACCTGACTCGTGTCCTCATTGATCTAGAGAGTGTTTGCTGAACACTGTAGGTACCTCTACAGGCCAGAGGGCACATGAACATGCCAGCCCTTGTCCCTTGCCTGTCTCCTGGGGAGATTGGTGCTACCTAGGAAGAGGGTACATAGAAAAGACACAGAAAAAAAGAGTTGGGGCTTCCCACATTGCTGCTAAGATCCCTATTTATGGCCATGTAATTGTATCCTAGGGGTGAGGGGAAGGGAGGTGGTTAGTATATCCGTTCATGACAAAAAGCTGACAGTAACTCTGGTTCTGATTTGCCCATCTAGCATTTTGTTCTCCCATCAAGTCTTTCTATTTTAACTATTACTACCTCTCCATCAGTGTGATTCTGGCGATGCACTCTGCAGCTGTGTTGGCCCTTCCTTATGAGGGTGACATGAAGTGACTATAAATAGCACTGACTCTTCAGCAACCCCCTTGAAATTAGGGTAGAGATAGCTAACTTGCCATTTCCCCCTTCCATTAGGTTAGGAGGTCCTTTCTGCCTCTTCTCCCATATGTATGACTCATTCAGGAGTTTCTCTTTGATTTGTGTAAGACAGTATGAGAAACTTGAAAAAGATAAAGCCAAGAATCTTAACTGAAACACAATGCCCTGGCTGTTTATAATAGTGAAATGGGAGCTGAAGACCATGTTGCCTAGGTCGGACTGAGTAGAAGGGCTGACATTGAGGGGTCCAAGGTTCTAGCTAGTGCTTATTGTTGGGGGTGGGGGGTTGATAAGACTGCTGCAAAACCAGGTTTTGTTTAGGTAGATTTGGATTTTCTGTCATAAGTATTATAAGGCTTTTCCAAGCTGTCATCTGTGAACCGATTCTATTTAAGATACCGGAAAGAGTGCAAAAAATGAAACCCCAAACTTGGAAATGCTCAAGATTTTAAATGTCCCAAATAATCACAGCCACATGTCATTGTGAGTTTAAGAAAACAGTGAATTTATCTCCTGTCTTTAGGAGCAGCTTCGACTTTGAACTGTGCTTTGCAAAACCAAAATCTTGACTTGGCCATCTTATACATCTTGTATGTGAGAGCCTCTTAGAAGTCCTCAGAACAAGGAGAAGTGGGGACAGCTGTCCTGAGGGTTTGTTGATTAGCTGAGCAGGCCTTCCTCTTTGCTGTCATTTTCTTTGTCATAAAGTCTGGGAGGCGGCCAGATACTCTGGGATGCACCTATGGAAGAAGAAATATTCTGCCCCTCCTTCTCTCTACCACTCTGTTGAAAAGACCCAGTGGCTGTGCCACCTCTGCCTTTCTCTTGAGTAACTCCCAAAACTACATGCTTGACTTGATGCCGAAGACAGTACTCTTCACCTTAATAACCAAGCAAGTTCTAAGTTTATTTTGGTTCTTCTCTGTCGCCCTTTCTCAGAAATGGAATTCAGGATAGCAGTATTTTTCTTCATATTAGTGATTGAGACTTTTTTAAAAATAAAAGATGGAAAAACTATTGGGAGACCCATCATCTCCTTGGACATTTCCTTGGCTGATTTTACTCCATTGTAATCCTTCAAAGAGCTCAGATGATTAAGGTAAATCAGCTTCTGGAACAAGGGACCCTGAGCGCAGGGGTGCTCCATGTGTTTAGAGCCTTCTGCCAAGGATAGGACTGAGAGCACTGGCTACAACTCTAGCTTTTTTTGCTTAAAAGCTCAAGGCTAAGGTACATGCGGAGGCACCTGGGACTAAAGTTGACCCTTGCACCAGGCTGGGAGGTTGTAAGCCTCTTAGACTTATAAATGGCCAAAATACCAGGATGTAGGTTCAGTATTTAACTGCAGACTGGGGGTGAGATTGGTGTTACCTTTTATTTTGATCACCTAGTCTTTAAACTCTTGGTCTCAGAGGCCAGATCCACAACCTGCCTTCTTGCCTGCCCTTCCAAGGTGGTCAGTGTGTCAAGCTGGAAGAATGGAATCAATCACCAGTCTTTGTGTCCTGTCTTAGCTGGGTCCATATAGGAGCAGCTTAGCTTTGAGGCCCAGAGACCCTTTATTCCTTTTTCTCCTTGAAGGAGCAAATTTTACTGGGGAAAACAGCATCTTCTGCAGCATGGGAAGAAGAAAATAAAACTCTCCTTTCCAATAACTCTGGTGTGTGTGTGCAATATGAAGTATTTTCTTAGATGGGTGCTAGGCGAGGTCCATTTTCAGCTTTAAAGCATCTGGCTTGGATCTCTGTAGTAGACTGGGGACAAAGAAGTCATCAGACATTCTCCTGTAGTGTCAAATCAGGATGTTCCTTAACCTTCTGCATGGCCTTCCTAGAGTAAAGGGAGGACATAGTTAGACTTTTGGTGAAAGGACTAGACACCTTCTGTATTTCTAAACATGTACTCTTTGGGGATAAGAAACACCCCATTATGTAGGCCTTGTGCATTCTGGGTGTTGTATTTTTTGCTTCATTTTGTTTATCGAGACAGTTTTATTTTGTAGCTCTGGCTGTCCTGGAACTTGCTCTGTAGAACAGGCTGGCCTCAAACTCAAGAGATCTGCCTGCTTCTGCCTACTAAGTGCTGGGATTAAAGATGGGTACCACCATCACCTGACTTTTTAGTTTTTAAAAATTCTCTTCTAATTTTTAAAAAATACGTATTTATTATGTATACAATATTCTGTCCGCATGTATGCTTGCAGATCAGAAGAGGGCACCAGACCTCATTATAGGTGGTTGTGAACCACCATGTGGTTGCTGGGAATTGAACTCAGGACCTTTGGAAGAGAATGCTCCTAATTGTTGAGTCATCTCTCCAGCCCCCTTCTAATTTTAAAAAAAAGATTTATGTGTATGGGTGCCTTGCCTGCATGTGTATGTATGTGTACCACATGTGCATGCCTGGTGCCTACAGAGGTCAAAGGGCATCAGATTCCCTGAAACTGGAGTTAGGGATGAATGTGATTCACCCAGTCTTCATGTGGTGCTGGGTCTGAACCTGGGTCCTCTGGAAGAGCAGCAAATGCTCTTAGCCCTTGAGCCATCCCTCCAGCTCCTGATTCCAGTAGTTTATAGTGGCTTGGTCACGGTCAATAATAATAGTAAAACATCCTCTGAGGAAGCAGGAAGAATGAATCCTGGAGATGGGGACTTGGGAAGTAGGTCAGGGTCAGAAGTTCTGAGTTTTAATAATAATAGCAATCAATAATTACCTGTTTCTTTCGGCCTCTAGTAGCTCAGGTTGACCTTGAACGTTGGTACACTTCAGACCTGAGTGCTAGGATTGTGTGTGCTAGAGTACGTGGCTTGCAAGTAATTATTGAGCAGTTAAGTGGTAGGCACTATGCCAGTTGCTTTACGCATTTCTTAGGACAAGGAGAGACAACTTCCTTTTGCAGATAAGGAAACAGGCTCCGAGATGTCACTTAGCCAAATCAAATGCCCCAGCCAATAAATGACTGAGCCAGCCCTCTCAGAAGTGGTATTTGTGTGAGTCACTTCAAGAGAAGTGGAAACTCAGGATTTCTGCCTTTAAGGGGCTGGAGTGTGGAAGAGGGACTCTCAGCACTCCCAAAACAGCACCCTTTTATGGAGGGTTGGCTCTGATTAGGACTTGGGTTTCACTTAGCACGGAACAAGTGGCTGCTCACACACCTGGATGACTTCTTGGGAAGGTTATGCCTGGAAGTACTTAGGAGTCAATCAAAACTACCCAGGGGCTTGAGAGCCAGTTGAATTAAACATGATCTTAAGACAACAGACACTGTATAAACCAGCAGCAAGCACCCCTATGACGGCAGGAATGGGAAGGTTTAGACCTGAAGTTAGGCATATTTTTCCAACTACAGAGTTCAGAGGAAAGTTGCAGAGCTAGAGGAACTAGAATATCTCCCAATGAGACTCCAACATGAGTGCCCTGCTCTGTCCTTCCCTCAAAGGGCGTTCCTTGGACAGGAGCCTGAAAGCCTGCACCAGGTAACTCTAGAGGCCGGAAACCTGCCCATTTGGTCCAGAGAACACCAAATATGGGGAGGGAGGGCTTCGGGCGCAAGGATCACGCCTGGAGAACTGGTTGCTGCTGCTGCGTGCTAGACTAAAGCTGCCCAGAAGCGATGCTTGAGACAGCCACTGCAGCAGGGTCACCCAAAACAAGAGCCAGAGGTAGGACAGTTTGGCTGCCGGAACCTCTGGTAGCTCCGCCCTCCCCGAAAGACCTAATGCTCCTACAGCGTACAGGTTTGGAGCCAATAGGAACCTGAGGTTTACATGACTCGCCACGCTTAGGCCAATCAGCTCGACGAGCGCTCCATCGGCGTCTCGCGTGACAACCGGGCAGCTTCGGTTTTGACCGTAATAGCTTTGGTTCAGAGTTCTCCCCGCCCTGTGAACTAACACCGGCCGGAAGTTCGGTGCCCAGAGATCCCTCCGCGCCGACACGTGACTTTGGTTAGCCGTAAACCTGTAGCGTACTTTTTTCCCCTTCATAGGACCTTCAGAATGGTCTGATAACTCCACAGCTACTCCCCAAGCACAGTGGAGGAGGGATGGGGAGGGCCAGGACGCCAATGGGATGCGGTTGGGTGGGCCTACGACAGGACCACGTGATCACGGCGGGAGGATGTGCGGTGTGCTGCGTCCTCGCGTAGTATATAAGAGGCGGGTGCAGGGCGTGTCGCCGCCATTTCTGCTTGCTCTCCGACAGATGAATATCTCCACTCTGTTGCGCCTTTCCTTATCCCCTCCCGCAGGGTCTGCGGCCACCATGGCGTATTAGAGGCAGCAGTGCCTGCGGCAGCGTTGGCCTTTGCAGCGGCGGCAGCAGCACCAGGCTCTGCAGCGGCAGCCCCCACCGGCTTAAGCCATGGCGTGAGTACTGGGCCGGTTGCGCAGGGCGTGTGCTTTGTTGGCTGGGCGCGGCTGCCACCGTGGCGCGTTGATCACCATACGCGGCTTTACGAGCGACTGGACGCGTCGGTCTTGCTTGCGTGGCCGCGAGACGCCGGCGCTGGCTGGCGGCGGGGTGGGGTGGGATGGGGGAAGCACTGCCTTCAATGCTGCTGCTCTGCTTCCCTTTGGTCTCGTAGCTCAACGGCCGCAAGCTCGCCGGGGTCCCGGTGACATCTTGCGAACGTGGCGCAGCCAAGATGGCGGCGGGGCGGGGGTGTGAGTCATGGGGGTGGGGTGGGGCGGGGCGCGAAGTCGATGGCTGTATTAGGAGGCAAGGACAAGCTGCTTCCTCTGGGGCGTCCGGCGAGGCAAGGCTGAGCCTCCATCTTGTGCAACCTGAGCCGGCGGCTGGGGAGGCTTACACAATGGCCTTGGTCCTACGTGCTGCCCATTCCGAGGCTTCTGGGATTTGGCTATCCTGCATTTTAGATAGAAAGATGATGAGGGTTGCCTTTGGACTCTTAATGCAGGTTCTTCACGGAATCCAGCAGCAGCGTTGCTGTAACGGACAAAGATACCTTCGATTTAAGTACACTCTTCGATTCCAACAAAGCCCTACAACATGACCGAGATGAGCTTCTTGAACAGCGAAATGTTGGCGGGGGACTTGATGTCCCCCTTCGACCAGTCGGGTTTGGGGGCTGAAGAAAGCCTAGGTCTTTTAGATGACTACCTGGAGGTGGCCAAGCACTTCAAACCTCATGGGTTCTCCAGCGACAAGGCTAAGGCGGGCTCCTCCGAATCGCTGGCTGTGGATGGGTTGGTCAGTGCCTCAGACACCGGCAAGGGTGAGTGGGCCACCACCTGCTCCCGAGTCCTCATTTCATGTGTGGGTCTGGTATTCTGATGGCTTTCTTCTGCTTTGAGTATGTGGCCTGAGCCATTAACTGGTGGTTTTTATTTTCTCCCCCACAGAGGATGCTTTCTCCGGAACAGATTGGATGTTGGAGAAAATGGATCTTAAAGAGTTTGACTTCGATGCTCTGTTTCGTTTTGATGACCTGGAAACCATGCCAGATGAGCTTTTGACCACGTTGGATGATGACACATGTGATATCTTTGCCCCTCTAGTCCAAGAGACTAATAAGGAGCCCATGACAGTGAACCCAATTGGCCATCTCCCAGAAAGTGCAACAAAAATCGACCAGGTTGCCCCCTTTGCATTCTTGCAGCCTTTTCCCTGTTCCCCAGGGGTCCTGTCTTCCACTGCAGATCATTCCTTCAGTTTAGAGCTAGGCAGTGAAGTTGATATCTCTGAAGGAGACAGGAAGCCTGACTCTGCTGCTTATATTACTGTAATCCCTCAGTGTGTAAAGGATGAAGACACCCCCTCAGATAATGACAGTGGTATCTGTATGAGCCCTGAGTCCTACCTGGGCTCTCCCCAGCATAGCCCTTCCACCTCCAGGGGATCACCAAACATTGTTCCCTCTCCGGGTGTTCCCCGTGGGTCTCCCCGACCTAAACCTTATGACCCCCCAGGAGTTACTTTGACAGCTAAGGTGAAAATTGAAAAGTTGGATAAGAAGCTGAAAAAAATGGAGCAAAACAAGACAGCAGCCACTAGATACCGTCAGAAGAAGCGGGCTGAGCAGGAAGCCCTCACTGGCGAGTGTAAGGAGCTAGAAAAGAAGAACGAAGCCCTGAAAGAGAAGGCAGATTCTCTTGCCAAAGAGATCCAGTATCTAAAAGATTTGATAGAAGAGGTCCGTAAGGCAAGGGAGAAGAAGAGAATTCCCTAGTAGGGTAGCCGGGTGCGTTGTGCCTGTACATAGTCTTGTGCTGAAGCTGTGTTTGCATAATAAATTATTTTGTAGTAAAGTACCAATGCAGGTTTGTTGTGTCATTCTCTTTGTAATAGACTTGTGTGTAAGGTGCATAGTAGACTTCGTACTTCACACAGGCCTAAGTTTAAGTAGTGAGGCAAAACTGGGCTATGTGCTAGCTGGGTGATCTGGGTTACTGAGAGGAACTTTCTGAAGGCCATCTGTTCATAATTGGCTTTATGCCAGACGTCTGCCATGTAAGTACCTAGATAAGGTGGAATAGTACTTGAGCACACAAGCTGATTAGATTTCTCTAAGCTTATACTGTTCAAGAGACCTCAGAAAACCTGTTGAGGGCTGATAAGTCCGATTACTGAAAAAGGAATAGAGCTGGTATTGCTCACCGAGATGCTGGTGGCTGTTTCCACCTGCGTAAGTCCTGGGGTGTGGTTAAGCCGTGGGTAGGCACACGAATTGAAGCAGGAAGTGGATGGGAAGTTAGTTTTGCTTCCTAAGTGGATTAAGGCCTACAGGACTTAGAATGGTTTCCCTGACCTACTCGGTGTGCCAGCAGATTCATCTGAGTGCTAGCTGTTAATGGATGTAGTCTTTGTAGGCTGAAATGTGGAGTCTGTAAGACCACAGGCTTCCCAGCTTCATACTAAGTAGGGATCCACTCATGTATAGTCTTCGGCTAGTGGAAGGTGAAGAAACGCCTTTGTTTCAAGTTTGGGCTTTAAAGGTCCAGAGTGATCACCCACCCCATCTGAACAGCTAAATTCAATAATGGCTAAAAGATTTTTCAAAGAGTGGTATGAAGTCAACCATGAGCATTTTTACTGAGTAACATGTTAACTGTCCTGGTTATTCAACTGCCACTTGATTTCTTGTTGGGTTTTAAGATAGGGTCCCAGAACTCAAGTATGTGGACAAGGCAAGTTTCAAATTCAAGAGATCCTTAGTGCTAGATGAGGCACAAGAACACCTTGCTGAGAAGATTTAGGATTTCTTAAGGTCTGGCTGGGGATGGGAACAACTTGTCTACAACTAAAGCAGAGAGCATGTAGTCAGTAGATGCAGAAAGCTTGATTCATTCGTGTTCATCTATTTTGGCTCTGGAGAGGCTAGGGCAGGATCACAGGTTTGGGGCCAGCTTGAGTTATGAGGCCCTAGCTAAAGAAAAAAGCCACCCATAAAAGGATCAGTTAGCTACACTGCGTAGGCTTGGTTTCAGTGGGGGTGGGGAGTGGTGTGGGAGTGGGGTAGAGACCGCCCTCATTGGCGGTTTTACGGCTGGCTTTAATCCTTCACTTTAGTCCTGTTATTTCAGGTTCCCACCCCATGAGCTATAAAAAAACCCCTCAGCTTTGATGCATTTGGCCAAGGGGCAGCTTAATCCAGCCTAGAACATGGTAGTGGGAGGAAGGCACTGAGAAGAGGGAGTGGGACAGTAAGCAGGTCGAGGACCTTAGAGACAGTGACTACCCTCACCTGGCAGCTATTCCTTCCACTTCCTATGGCTGCTACCCCTCTATGCAGGGCTAATGTCATGTCAGTCTAAAAGGACTATCCAAGGATGACCTTGAATTGTTGCTTCCCCAGTTGCCACCTTCTAAGTGCCAGGGTTATAGACATGCACCACCACACTTGACCTGCTTACAAGAGGGACTAGGGAGACAGCCAAGATCTAGTCACCCTGACCATGGTGACTGAAGTCCCTGCCAGGTATTGACAAAATGGGTGGAAGTAGTGCTTGCTCTCCTGTCACTTGGCAGAGGATGGCCACTGGTGACTTCCCATTATGCATAAACACTGACAGATTTACACAGTGGACACAGGGTCAACAGCCCAGCTTTTGTGGAACTTCACTTTTCCTAAGGGAGACAAAGGGACACCAAAGATACGTGAATTGCCTGGCAATCTGGGTGGAGGACCTGCTCCTGGAGGACCATGTGGAGGGAGAGAACAAGGTGGGGTCTGGGTGTGGGTAGGAGGATGACAAAGCAGTAGCCCCACGTCTGCAGATGAGGAAGTGGAAGCAGGCCTTCAGGCTCACCCTTTTATGCAGGCAGGAGCGGGGCTGTCTTAGCCGTTGAGATGGTGGATGTAGGGTTTGGAGACAGAAGAGCTCAGGAAGAGAGTAAGCCGGGGCGGTGAGAGCCAAGTGCTGAGCCCCTCCCAAGGCACTCTGGGTTGGGCACGGGATCTTGGCCAGGGTGGATAGCAGGTAAATGCTCAAAACCACTACCAAGTAACAACTTCAGAGTCAGGCCAGCTCAGGGTGGGGAAATCTCAGGGCAGACGGCTGGGTCTCCTGGCTAGGTCTTTAAGAATGGGGAAATTGTGTATATGAAGAGAGAGCACTCCAACCCACCTATCCAGAACCTGATCAGCTCCAGTTGAGCCTTGGAGATCTCCCTAACCCCCAAGTCAGACCACTCTAGGCAAGGCTGATGTCCTGGTGATTGACCTTGTGGGTCCCCAAGACCAGTACATGGCAGTCCTGCTCCAGTCTCTCTGGTAGTACAGATGGCCCAGCCCACAGCATGAGACACAGGAAGCATGTGGGATGGGGGTGAGGGTTCCAAGTCTAGATCATCAAACTTTGTATCTATCTGGGATGCCTTAGTTGGGGTAGGTCTCCCTTTGCTAGGCCCCTTTGGCTTGAATGTAACAACTGGTATCCTCTTATTGGGCCACTGGGGATAATGGTCAGCACTCCATTCTTCTTGGCAGCAAGCTGAGGTCTTATACCAGGAAAGGTACAGGATCTCTGGTGGTATCCTCTAATTGATCATGTGACCACAGGTGTGAACTCCCTAGAAAGGGGCTCTGGAGTACTTTATCACCTCCCTCCAAGAATAAGCATGGAGCTGTTTGCTAAGTGGCTTATTTAAGATAGAGGAAATGAGTCCCAAGGCCACTTGAATTTGCAAAATCTACCAAACAGGAAGACGGGGTGGAGGGTTTGAAGACCCATGTCCCTGTGGACCCACACCACAGAGGACCCAATCACTAGCTTATAGTCACAACACCTTCCTTCCCTCCTGTTCCTGCTTGCTCTGACCCAGATGGATGGCCAAGCCTCCTACTAGGCAGAGGCCACATGGAGGCTGTGGGTAGTTCTGTGACCCCATGTTGAGCTGCAGCACTGAAGTGGGGGCACTGCTCTCTTACTGAGGACAAAACCCAACCACTTGTCTTGTCAGAGGCCCATCAATACCCTTCCGCCACTATTCTCCCTGGGGTTCAGGAGTCACATGACCTGAGGAACCCCTGGGCTTAAAATGGAGGAAAGGCAGGCTCAGGGCAGAAGATGGCTGTGTGAAGGCCATCAGTTTTCTCCTTAGGAACCCATCTATCTCCACTGAGGGGGTTCCTGGTCTCTGTGGCAGGAGAAAAGCTGTCTGTGCCATTCTTTCCACAGTGCGTTCTTTCCACATGACCTTTCCTTTGCCACCTGTGTCTGGCGGTGCTGACTGGAAAGGGGCCAATTTGCCCTGAGGTGGCACAAGCCTAGCTTTCACTGATGTCCTTGGCTAGGGTACAGACTTAAATGCCAATCTGTTTGCCTAGGATGACTCCTGAAACCATGACCTATGCCCCCATCCCATGCTGACCCCAAGCTCCAGGGGGGCTGAGGCAGCTCCACTTTTAGACTCCCAAACTCACTTCCTGGGCAATGCTAGCAGCTAGTGGCTATGCCCACTGAGGAGGGCATCACTGGTAGAAGGGATTTATGCTGGGCCTAAACTGGGGAGCTTCTGACACAGAGCACCTTGATCCACACTGAGATGGGAGATGTGCTGTAAGTCCTATCAACAGGACGTGCGCGCACACACACAAAGCCTGAACCCACATTTGTTCAAATTAATTTACTTGAACTCAACAGCCAACTTGTAGTTCTTGGAGGTATTGTCTGAGAGGGCCACACACCTGGCCCTATTTCACAGCAAATAGCCCCAGGGTCCTGTCCTGGTCAAAGATATCAGGTCAGAATCTTTTCTGGCAGGGTATACATGGCAGAAATCCACTTCAATCTGAGTGCAAATTTGTCTCAGGGCTTGCAACTCTAGTCCAGTGTCTCTGGGATACCAGCTCTAGGGCTTCCTGATCCAGGCTGGGTTGCACTGCCACCTGCTGGTCGCCCATGAGACAGCAGAGCTATGGCAGTCAAAGGATGTTAGTGCTTTTTGTCCCCACCATTCCTGCAGGAAGCCTAGCTGCCAAAATATTCCCTCTGGAATTTCTGGAAGTCTTCTTCAGTGAACACAGTGCCCTCAGTCTTCTTCTTCTTCTTCTTTGTCGTCTTGGCCACTAACCGATCACAAGCTTTGCGGCCCTGGTTCTGCTGCAGAATCTGGAAAGGTTCTGGAGTAAGGGCACAGAATTTCCATTTTTGGAAGCACAGGTGGAAACCCTTGAGATCACAGGGACTTAGAGCTCAGGGCAGGGCTGGACCAACTCCACACTGTATTTAGTGAGACAGATCCACATAGATCCTGAAGAAGAGCCTCAGCTATCACCCCTGGATCCCTTCCTATAGCTTGCACCCCTAAACAAACCTGCTGGGTCACAGACTCTGGCACGGTGCTTCTCACGCTGGTCATAAACCTCAGGTTTGTTTCGAGGTGGTCTTGACACTGTCGTTTCTGATACTCGTCTGTGGGTAGCAGGCAGAGCATGTCATTTCAGACTCATCATACTATAGAAGCCTTCTGGGTCCCATCCCTAGGTTATTTCAACAGTCTGGGCTCTCTCCAGTCAATTCTGCTTTTCCCATAGGTTCTGCTGAAAATCCCCACCTACTGGATGGCTTTCAGTTAGGCATGTGACTCAGCCACTTACTCAACAATTCTGTCTTAAGCCAGGCATGCAGATATACAGCTGTGATCCAGCACTTGGGAGGCTGAGACAGGAGGACAGCTTCTAGCTACACAGCAAGTATCAGATCAGATAGGGTTATGCAGCAAGGCTGTTTAAAAACAACACAGCAAAAACCCTTCACCAACAACAAATAAAAACAGGTATGCCCTGAGCACAACTGTGTATCAGGTT